GCAGTGGCCGAGGGAGCCGTGGAGCCGAGGAAAGGGGAGAGAGGAGAGAGGAAGCAGGGGGAGGGAGGGAGGGAGCTAGGAGCCAGAATGGGGGGGTGCCTTGGCAGAGTTAACTCCTTCTGCGCTGGCAGGAACCCGGATAATGGGAAAGGAGATAGAAGGAGAAACAGAGAGGCCCTGAGGCAAACATGGAGACGTGGCCAGCCTCCAGTAATGACAGCAAAAACTCTCAGGATGGATTTTATTTCTTAGAAGAGGAAGCACCGACAGTTGAGCTGGGAGCACGAGCACAGCTGTTAAGATATTGAGGGGGGCCACAGGAAGGGGGTAGGATATGAGGGAAGGGCTGGCAGGAGGGAATCCCTGGGGGACCCTTCTCCCTCAGGTTTCACAAGAGAAAGCCCGAAAAGTAATTGTGTCATGGATCCTCGTGTCTGAAATTGGGGCAGGCAAAGAAAAGGGGAAAGACTGCAAAACGTGCATTCCCAGTACCCCCAGCCACTAGGCCACTGATTTAGGATTTTGTCACCAGTGTCAATTTAATATTTACAACACTTTGCAGCTCCCTGAAGAAGCCAGGCACCCACCTTTACCTCCTTACCTGACTCTCTGAGATGGAAACCTCATAGTAGTCAAGGACGTCTGTCATAGAAGCAGAACTGAGTTACTCTCCCCCAGCCCAGTTCCCTCAGGTCACCCTTGTCACCTTCTCTATTTGTCTACTAAGGGAGGAAGTCTTACAGCCAAGCTGGTTGATGAGGCTGGAGCACACCTTAGAAAGATTCTGCATAGCCCTCCTACTTGGAACAAACACTCTTCAGACCAGCCTGCATGAAGTTCAATACTTGCTCTTACAGGCCCAGGCCAGCCCCTTTGTTGTGGGCTCTCAGAAAACTGGGGTTACTTACCAAGCAAGGCCTGGAATAGGTCACTGTGCAGCACCGTGAGTAGGGGGGGTGCCCACCACAATACTGGGGGTGCCAGAAGCCTGAGGGCTGACCTGAGAGCTGGCAAAACACAAGTGAGGGAGGACTGAGAACAAGAAGAGACTAACTCACTTAATCATCTTTGAGTCCTTTCACCTCAAACTTTATGAAAAGATTCAGAGAGAAAGATCCCCAAATCCTTGCCTCCCACTATACTCCCAAGCCTCCCCTCCACAAAGACCCTTGTTGTTCACCTCTTGGTCTCTGAGACATCTCTCTCTTGTCTCACTTTAATCTCCCTAATCCACCAGGATTGGAGTTGAGCTACCTTCTCTTCACTCAATTCCATTAGGTAAAGTACAAAATGTCTGAATGGATGGGCTGTTAGCTGTCCCATTCTTCCCTAGGTCGCCAGGCACCAACCACCTTGTTCCACACTCCCTGGACCCCCTCCTCTAAGGCAGACATAATATAGCTACACTCTCCTGAGGGGGTTGGAAAGAAGATCTCCACCACAGAGGGCCCAGTTGCTCAAACAGAAAGGAAGCTGAGCCCAGCTCTCTTTCCCCCCAGGGCTGACCTCGATGGGAACTGCAGAGAGTTACATATTTCTTGGGACATCTTGACCTAGAGCTAGAGAAGCAGGGAGGACGAATATAAGAATTCCTACAGTTCTCAGGCCTGGGAAGAGTCCATCTACCCCCAACGCCTAGCCTGAGAACAGGGTCTCTGAAAGAAACAAGAAGGCAGAAAGACATAGTCAGGAAGCACTCAGAGGCACTAAGGAAGAGGTAATGAGCCAGAGGATCATTCCTCCTGCTCACTTTTGAGAGTTAGTGACATCTAGTAGGTCTAGGGAGAATTTGTTTTTCAGGGATACATTCCAGCTTGAGTCTGTCGCCCAGCCATTCTCCCTTGGCAGAAAGATTTCATGAACCTCAAAGAATCATCTTTTCATGCCTCTGACTCTGGCTTCTACCTTAAACTATATATATATATAT